AAATATATTTTATTGATTTTTCACAGAGAGGAAGGGAGAGGGACAGAGAGCCAGAAACATCGATGAGAGAGAAACATCGATCAGCTGCCTCCTGCACACCCCCTATTGGGGATGTGCCCGCAACCAAGGTACATGCCCTTGACCGGAATCGAACCTGGGACCCTTGAGTCCGCAGGCCGACGCTCTATCCACTGAGCCAAACTGGTTAGGGCATATATTTTTTAAAACAATCTCAAACTTACAGGAATGTTGTAAGTACTGGAGTTTGGTGTTTTCCACTATTTGAGAGTGATTTGCCATTATGGTGCCACACTGACCCCCAAGTACTTTAGGGTGTTTTCTAACAAGCAAGAATATTCTCCCACATAACTGTAATAGAACCTAGAAATCATGAATGTAGCATTGATATATTGCTTCTGCCTAAGCTTTAGACCAATTGTCCAAATAATGTTCTTTACAGAAAAGGAGCTAGTTCAGAATCGCACATTTCATTTAGTTGTCGTGTCTCCTTGATTTCCTTCTGTCTGAAACAGCATCTCACTCCTCCCTTCACTTTCTTGACCTTGGCACTTTGGAAGATTACAGGCCAGTCATTTTCTAGACTGGCCCCCCCATTTGGGTTTGTCTGATGTTTCCTCATGGTTGGATTTGGGTTATATATCTTTGGCAGGACTAACAGAAGAGATGACCTGTTCCTCGCAGGGAGCACACTGTTGCATTATTGCTGACTGCTCACTTTGATCACATAAATAATATGTTATTTATCAGCCTTCTGCACTATAAAGTTACTTGTTTCTCTTTGTAATTAACAAGTACTTTGTGTAAGGTCATTTGTAACTATGTAAATATCTCATTTCCCATCAGACTTAGCATTTATTTATCACCTGCAAGTGTCATCTAAAAGTCAGACTGAACAGGCGTCTGGCAAGAGAAGCAAGTAAAGTGAGGAGTGGGGAGAGGTTTGGTGCAAAGAGAGGCATGTTTTGAGTAGAGGGAAAGGGTTCACTTTAGTTCAGTTGGAGAAGGCTTAGACTAGCAGTGCTTGGAAGAACTCCAAGCAAAAGAACTTGCTAGAACACTATGTTTCAAACTGTGAATCATAAAATCAATTTAGTAGGTGGCCTCTGAAAAAGTCATTTTTCCTACTAACCTAACACAAAACTATAAAACAAGTGGAAAGTAAGATAAATGCAGACTGATTTGCACTGTTATCCTCAGCTCTCTGGTGAGAGAATAGTCTGTGGACTCGCTGAATTCATACCATTTCTCATGAGTGGTGGACCTTGATTTCATTCTTTTTGTTGTTGTTTTGTTAATCCTCATCCGAAAATAGTTTTTACATTGATTTTCAGATAGAGTGTAAGGGAGGGAGGGAGAGGGGAGAGAGAGAAACATCAACGTGAGAGAGACACATCAATTGGTTGCCTCCCACATGTACCCAACTGGGGCTGGAGATCGAACCTGCAACCTAGGTATGTGCCCTTGACTGGAAATTGAACCGGCAACCCTTTAGTGTAGGGGTTATGCTCTAACCATTGTGAAACACTGGCCAGGGCAACCTTGATTTTTTTATTGAACTTCTCTTGTAACACAAACAAGCATAAATAGCACAGTTCTCAATAAATGTTAAATATATTTATGTAATGATGGATCCAACATTTGTCAAAGTGACATCAGCGTTGATGAAAAATGATTGACTTTTGGAGATCCAGAGATCTAAGGAATCCTCCATTTAGACATCTTTCATGGGGAAGGGGAAGCATTGAATATCTATTTATCACTCATGCAACATGCTTTGTCATCAGCAAATCCCAGGATTCTATGTTCATGAAAAAGGCAGTGATGGAGCACCACCAGAAATGCTGCAAATAGGGATAGTATTAGAACCTTCTCCCTCTTCTTCAGCTTTGTTCTCCTTCTCTGTTCTCTGTCTACAATCCTTCTTCCAACTCCTAACACACACCCAATACACCACACACACACACACACACACACACACACACCCATGAGCTCTGGGTAAAAGTACAAATGAAGCAATCAGAAATATAACTGTATAAAGCAAAGAACATTTAAAAAGTAAAAGAATGTTAATTTATCTTTTAATTTTTAAAATTCGCCAGAGCTCTGGCAACTGGTGATAATGAAGAAAAGCTCTTTTCAGATTCATTAGATAGTGATTTCATGGTCTAATTTTTCTCTCATTAGGAGAGTGTGTGATAATATCATCATTAGCAGAAGAAGGTTAAAAGAGAACAGTAGTACTTCAAAAGATGCCATTAAGAAAAGGAAAAGGCAGGGCACAGACTGGGAGAAAATACTGGCAATGGAGTCTAACAATGGGTTTGTAAACTGAACGAAATCTTAGGAATCAATAATAAAAGACAGTCACAAATGAATATGTATTAATTGCCTAAAAGCACTTGATATGCTCCACATCATTAACCATCAAGAAAATGCAAGTCAGAACCACAGGAATTAATAAAAGGAAGGAGAATGGCAATATCAAGTATGGACAAGGATGTGAAGCACTGAGTACTCCTACTTAGCTGTATTGCTGTAATCATTGTACCACTACTTTGGAAAACAATTTGGCATTTCTTATCAAGTTGAGCATTCACTTATTATTTGAACCCCGAACCTCCACTCTAGGTATTTACCTAGTGAAAATGAAAACCTATATCCACCAAAAAACCTTGTGTATACATAACAACTTTATTCATACTAGTAAAAAACGGGAAAAAACAACAACAAATGTTCAATCAATGGGAGAGTTGATAAACAAATTGTGGTATATTCATACAGTGGAATACTACTCAGCAATAAAAAGGAATGGGCTACTGATACGTGCAGTAATATGACAGAATTTCAGGAACATTATGCTGAGTAAAAGAAGCCAGGCACAAAAGAGTATATGTTATATAATTCCATTTATATGAAATTCTTTTTAAAATGCCAAGCTAATAATATTGATATATTGTGATCAAATCAGATCATTACTTGCCTGGGTTTGACTGCAAAGAGGTGTTGAGGGACATTCTGAAATGATGGAAATATTCTGTAATGATGGGTTACCTAAATGACCCAACTCAAAGAATTGTGCAATTAAAATGTGTGCATTTCATTGAACACAAGCTATATATTTCAGTAAAAACTTTTTAAGTAAAAAAAGAGCTCTAGACCAGTGGTTCTCAACCTCTGGGTCGCCAACCTGTGGGTCGCGACCCCTTTGGGGGTCGAACGACCCTTTCACAGGGGTTGCCTAAGACCATCGGAAAACACATATATAATTACATATTGTTTTTGTGGTTAATCACTATGCTTTAATTATGTTCAATTTGTAACAATGAAAATACATCCTGCATATCAGATATTTATGATTCATAACAGTAGCAAAATTACAGTTATGAAGTAGCAATGAAAATAATTTTATGGTTGGGGGTCACCACAACATGGGGAACTGTATTAAGGGGTCACGGCATTAGGAAGGTTGAGAACCACTGCTCTAGACCCTGTACTCGACTTCTTTGGCATTTGGGTGATAGCACACTTAGCCTCCCTATGGCAACCCTTCCTGATTATCTTTGATAATCATTGCCCTGGACATTAAATGGAAATCCTCTCACTAAGATGAAGCCCAGCACATGGGTGGGATCCATGCCCAGGACTCAAACAGCACAACTGGGATGTTTGTCTTTTAGAAATAAATGTAGGAGCACCTGACTGGGTCAGTAAACTGTGGCCCATGCTACTTGCTTTTGCACCTCCTTTGAGCTACGAATGTTTTTTATATTTTAAGGGGTTGTTTAAAAAACAAAAACAGTCCAGCCAGCGTGGCTCAATGGTTGAGCATCAACCTATGAACCAGGAGGTTACTGGTTCTATTCCCAGTCAGGGCACATGCCTGGGTTGTGGGCTCGATCCCCATTATGGGGCATGCAGGAGGCGGCCAGTCAATGATTCTCTCTCAAATTGATGTTTCTGTCTCTCTCCCCCTCTTCTTTCCTCTCTGAAATCAATAAAAATATATTTTAAAAACACAAAACATGCCACAGATGTATGTGTTCCTCAAAAGTGAAAATACTTACTCTTTGGACTTTTACAGAAAAAGCTTACTAATTTCTTTTCTTTACTCTTTGATCAGCACTCCATGCCTACAGTAACTGAGTCAATTTCTTAAAAACTTCTAATGAGTATCTTCTTTAAAAGTTATGCTCCAGCAGTTTGAAGTGCTAAGTGGTATATATTATGCATACAACCTTGTTTCCTTTCCTCTGAAGATAAATATGAACCCTGAATTAAATGGTATGACAGCTGTTTCCCCAGGAGCACTGGATTTGCTATGAATGGGCCTCTTTGGCTCTGTACCTGCCACCCTGGTTAGAATGATGTTAAAGATTGTGAATCCAGAACATCTGTGAGACTCTCTTAGCCATTCTGTAAAACATGCCAGCTAAATGTTTCTGCTTTGCCCCAGTGGAATAAATGGGAGGAGTCATTTTTACCCTTTAGCCTTCTGGAAAGTGGGAGAGTAGCTTAGAAAATGTTTGAGAAGGCTATAGAAAGTGATTATCTTGTCTATTAGATTAGAGGATCCTCACTACAGATTCAGCAACATTAAGATTTCCCCCATAGAGTGAACTAGAACCCACATCAACTCAGGAACTTCCCACCTTCTCCCATCCTTAGCTCCTGCCTCCCGTGAGCTCATTTGCCTGATGACAAACCACATGGATCTTTTAAAATTAATTTAGGTGCTCTGAGCATCTCTTTATTCCAAATGCTGAAGATGAACCTGAGGATAATGGGACATCTAAAATTGCTTTAGGAAAGGTGCTGCCTCTTTGGGGATGCCTCTGTACTCATGACCCACACATTCACGGTGAAGGACCAGAGGAACTGTGGTGACAGTGCATGGACAAGAACAAGCAGCAGCCTGATGTGAGCTAACCCCTAAGTGAAAGTCTGTGAATGTTTATGAGACTTCTCTCTCTTTCCTTCAGGCCTACTCTGTCTTCGACGAAGACATTGGGTACTGCCAAGGACAGTCTTTTCTTGCTGCTGTATTGCTTCTGCATGTAAGTAATTTTCCATGTGATAAATGGTATGGTGCTGCCACGTTTAGTTTATTTTCTACTTGGTTTTGTCCTCCCTCCTTATTTTCCATTTACCTGATGGAGATTACACATGGCATATCTTTTTAGAAACGTGCCTTTGGTGATAAAGTAAGAGATCTGAAGTCTTTTTTTGAAGTCAAGAACAGGACAGTTCCTCATTAGAATTAATTTTGTTAGCTAGAAGGGAATAAAGTGGTTATTTGGAGTTATTTTTAACTAGAACCCTCTAAAATTAAAGAAGTCAATGTAGCTGTCCCAAAATGAGCAGGTTCAGGACCATTATGAAGGAATGTGACAAGGAGGCCTTTTGTCTTTTCCGTGATTTATTGTTGTATACTCTCTTTCTTCTCAGTCACTTTTATTTAACAGAATATTCCTTGAGCATCTGTTGTCAGTCCTGGGCTAGTGGGTGGGATTACAAATATGAGTGATTTATGATTTGTGCTCTCAAAGGCCTCATGGTCCAGGGTGGGGCACAGAGAATGCAGGCACATGCTTATTATTTTTATTCTTATGTCTTTATTGATTTTCCTTATGTTTATTAAAGAACTTATAGTGTGCTTAGTGAAAGCGACACACAAAGTAAGAGAATAATAGAAGAACTATCCAACCCAGAACTTTCAGAAAGACTTTCTGGAGGAGGCAGTAGCTTTGCCAAGACATAAATAATTGAGGTTGGGGGAGGCAAGACGAGAAAGGGAGGGAGTAGAGATTGTTAGACAAAAGGAACAACATGAATGAATGTATGAAAACACAGAAGGGCACAGTATATAAAGGGAACAATACGAAATTACAGTTCCTATACAGTTACTATAGGAATTGAAAGCAGGGAAAGGTATGAGGCAAAAACGGTCATATGGGCAGGCACCAAATTACGAAGACTTTGTAATCATGTCAACAAATGTGGGCTTTAGAATAAAGCGAAGGAGGAACCATTGATCAGTGTCAAGTGAGGGAATGGCAGTCAGACGTTCATTTCAGATACATTCTTTATTACTCCCTTGTATTGGGCAGAACTGAAGGGAACGAGCAGCAGTAGAGAGAAAAGGAAATATCAATCTAAATGAGAGATGTTGGGACCCAGAGAAAGAGAAACAGAATTAAGAAACATGCAGGAGGCAAAATTGGTAGGTTTTATGGATGCATTGACAAAGAAGGATCTAAGGTAGCATGTCTAGTTTTCTAGTTTTAGTGACTGGATGAATTATGTTATTTTGAGCTGAGAAACAAATGCATCCATTGAGATTGAATGAAGAAAAAGGGTTAGGAGGGGATGATGAATTCTGTTTTGAATTCCTTGAGTTTGGGGTATTTGAGACATAGCTGCGTGAAGCTATCCAGCAACCAATTGGATACTGGAGACTGATGCTGGTGAAAAAACAAAAGTGAGATTATGAAAGTGAATCATCATCAAAGAAAAATAAATAGAGTAAGAAGAACAGGATAGAGCTCAGAGATGCCAGATATTTAAAGGGCTGATAGGGACGAAGAATCCTTGAAGGATTTCTGGATTTTCAACTGAGAGGAAGCAATGTATAATGTCAGATGCATCAGAGAAGTCCAGGAAGTTCAAAACGAAAGCATTCCTTGTAGGTTTGCATTTTGGAAATGAAGAGCAATTATAGTAGAGTATGGTCCTAGTTTTGATAACTTGATTTGAATGATAATAATGATATAAATGGTTCTATTGTGATTATTCACCTTCTTTAACTTTGAGTTTGTTTTCTTTGTCTGTTGCATTATCACCTGTTGTTGGTCTTCTTTATCTTGTCCTTATCTTCCGTCTTTCTTTGATATCTCCATAGCCGACCTGCTTGGCATTCCCTGTGATAATCAAGTACTTTATGGCCACAAATTCTCTACTACTAAACCCACCTAGTATCTCGAATTGTCAGGTCCCTACCACAAGGGGCTGGAGACTGTAAGCAATGACATGATATATTTACCAGGGCTCAGAGCCATTGTTCTTCTACAAGGAGCCTTTGTAGTGGCTCTGATGAAAGCTGATGTTCAAGCTGTGGATGGGGATGCTTTGTATTCCACAAAGTAGTCACTGAGTATATCACAGTCTAGCATTTTAGCATTTAACTGTAGCCCAGTGAAACACATTGTAATATATTGATTGAAATTCAATGAGAAGAATATCTTGCTGAGAAATCTGTTCTGAGATTTAACAGGTTTAGATATCTGTAAGTTTATATTTGTTTGGAAACACCTCCCCCTGAAAAAAAAAGAGAGAAGAGCGAATCAAATAGTCAGAAACATCAAATACCCAGAATTTTTTTCTATATTATGTCCTCTCCTATTATAAGTGTTATATGGTAAGTCAGCCATTGTAAACTTATTCAACAAAATTGCTTTTAAAGTATGTCACAAGATGGATAGAAATTCAATCCAGGCTCTTACACTTTGTACATTAGTAGAATTATGCAGTTGTTGCCATGGCTTATAAATAACTTGAAATACAGAAATGCCTTCAGCATCTTTGAGGAAAGATGAACTGATATTCCGCATAGTGTTAATGAAAAATATACTGTAATTTTTAATTGAACAATATGTGTAATACTTCTGTTAACCAGTATATTCCATTAATTGACCAACCCATTAACCAATTTGAATAAGAAAAGTTAACTAATTTTTTTCTTCCGTATTTTTGCCTCCAGGGTTTAAATAGGTAGAAGAATACAGTCTAGCTTTAACAATTCATCAAATACACTATCTCAGGTTCCAAGGAGATATGTTATTAGGGTCCTACTAATTTTTTATCAGTTACATAAGCTATTGCTTCTTTTTGCTGCCAGACATTCTTTGGCAGCTCCACATTAATCATTGTCAGAACCTGCTTCTTTGGGGATGCTGTCTTTTCCTCCCCCACGGTCATTTATATTTCACATGCACTGCCTAAGAGGAAAGAAAGACCAAAAGTGAAAGTATGTTAAAAAAAAAAAGTTTAGAATTTTTGTGTTTTTCCATGTCTAAGTAGTTTTAGGAAATAATTACCTTCCTGCTTGGAAATTTCTAAAGGCTTTGATAATAGCTTTGTAACTTGTTATAGTTTAAACAATGAAAGAAGTGTTTATTATAGTAGATGCTGTTATATCTATTGATGAGATTACAGGAAACTGATCATTTAGAGTTGGAGAATAATGTTATAGCATGGATTGCTTGTAACCATTATATGCTCACCAGCCTTTGAAGTTAAATATGCAATAATTAGCAATATGATCATTATGGTGTTAGTCTTTGCTTAATGGAAATATGATAATTTCCTTTTATATACTTCATTTATTCTAAAAATCATATAACATATTTTAGATAATTTTTAACCCAATATATTTTTACTAACATATCTGTGTGTTTTATTTAAAAATTTTTTTAAAAATTATGAAACCTTTAATGCATCCCTCAAAAAGACAGGTTTAGGATAAGATTTAACTAATAGACTTAAATGGGAAGCAGAGCTACTTAGTTTTTTGAAAATAAAGATTCCACAGGGTCTAAGGTGACAAGGTAGAGGCTTCCAAGTGTTTCTGTAAGTAAGAGTGTTTGTGCCATTACGCTATTGAGGACTCTGTCTGCTACTTGACGTAGACTTAGCTCAAAGCAGCTTAATTTAAGAAGGAAGTTTATTGGCTCACCTAACTGGGAAGTCCAGGGCAGGGGTGATTTTGACATGGCTGGATTCCAGAATTGCTTAGTCAGGAATCTGTGTCTCTGTATCTCTGTTTTCTTTAAATTTTCTTGCCTTAATTATATGAATTGGTCACAAATGTGCAACATGTCTGCAGACTGGCCTGGCTCATATCCTTTCAGTTTTATAACTTCATTTAAAAGGGACCAGTTTTTTTTGCTATAGCTCCTGCATTGAAGAAGAGGAGGAGGAGGAGGAGGAGGGGGAAGGAGAGGGGGAGGGGGAGGAGGAAAGAAAAGAAAGAAAAAAAGGAAGGAAGGAAGAAAGAAAAGAAAAGAAAAGAAAAGAAAAGAAAAGAAAAGAAAAGAAAAGAAAAGAAAAGAAAAGAAAAAAGAGAAAAGAATTCCTGGATTCCTGGAGGATTCTGATTGGCCTTGGGAACCTGCCGTCCCTGAACCTGTTGCTAAGGCCAGGAAGAAAGGATGTTCTGATTAGCCCTGTCCAGATCTTGAGTCTCCCTCAATTGCTGACAGTGGGCTGGATCAGCTCCTCCTGAGCAGTGGAGCAGCTCTCCTAGAGGAAAGGAGTTTTGATGCCAGATGATAGGGAGACAGGATGCTAGACAGACACAACACATCATCTTATAGTGATGTTCTTACTACAGGAGTTTTAATAAGCCCTTTTATGCTCCCAAATAACTTTTTCTTAAAATCCAAGGGATTTTCCTGTTCTAAGTTCATTCTTGCATCAGTACCTTTGGGGCCATTCCTCAATATCCTCTTCCTGTGTCCTGTAAATATATTCAAGACATGTTTAAAAAAGTCCTCTGTTGATCCTCCCATTTTAGATAACTTAAGTTTCTCTACCTTTTCAAAGCTGAACTCATTCAAAGGATAGTAAAAGCACAACTATAAATTTGAACTATGGTTTAATACCTTCCAATTTATATGACCTTGGGAAAGTTTCCTAAACTCTGAGGTTCAGTGTTGTTGTTGTTGTTTTCATTTATAAAATGAAAACAATATTATTATATTTCTAGTGTTCTTATGAATATCGGATACCTTATATCATGAGCATGAAGAGTCCCTATTTTGTATCTGACACAAAAAGAGTGCAGCTGTGGGATGAAATCCAGGCTTTATTTAATAGATGTGCAGTTATTGGCAAATCACTTAACTTCATTGAACTTCACTCATCCAGTGTTTAAAATGTAAAAATAATGCCTACGTTACAGAATTTGGTAAGGATCAAATGGGATCATGAATGAATGCCTCTAATAACAGTAGCTACTACTGTTCTTTGTAAAATTAATCATTATTTGCCCAGTCAATTTTCTTTGGACCCTGGTCCCATTAGCTTCAATTGACCACACATTAACAGACTAATATGTTGTACAGTATGTTTTATATCTTATAAATACACATTTAATTTAGATGTATTTTAGCATATATTTGCTTTAAGAGGAAAACAATCAGCTGGAAGTTTTCATTCTATTTGCTGTTCAATGGGTGAACAGAAAATAAAGACTCATGAGTTTATGATTTTCAAAACAGTCACTAGCATCCACCTTTGTTGAAGAAACCCAGAAAATTGGTAGACTGTTCAGCGCCTTCAAGGACAAAGGTAGATTTCTTGCAAAAAGATATGAAACAACCATTCAGATCAGAAAATTTAGTTTTATCCTAAATAAGAGTATTATTTTATATTATCAACAGATAATTTTGCTTTAAAAGATGTCTTGATGTGTGTGACTTCAGCTGAGTCTTAAAGACTTTTGAAGTACATAGGGCTGCTTTGTTTTGTGGTTCACAGCAGAAAGAAGCAGCGAAACTTGGAGATTGTCTCCATTTAGTGATTATCTTTGTTAGTACAGATGGCAGATCATTGTCAATATTTGTTACCAAACAGTGATTACATCATACTTGATTCTCATATTGTACATGTGAGGCAGGTATTTAACTTTGTATTTCATAGAGTCATGGATGACATTGTGGTATCTTAAGTTAAAGGATTTAAATGCTTATCACCTCCTTCCCTCAATAAAACAACACTGATTCCGTGACAAAGCTCCTGTTCACAGCCAAGATGGATATGCAGTATTAGAGACCCATCATGTAATAACATCTGATATTTAATTTAAAAAGATATTGTTCAATGACTTATTTGTATTGTACTTCAGACCAATTACATATCAATGATTAAACTGGCATGTCTAATTCAATGAAACATTACTTTCATAAATTAAATAGTTATTTTAATGCTTTAAAAAAAGTTCGGCAGGTGCCACAATACTATGTAGTGGGGAACCCACTCTTGTAGTAAGGTGAGGTTGACAGTACAGCTAGGTGTTGATTCTCAGATCCTGACTGACTTTCTTTATGCTAATTGAGGGGCAAGCTTAATAGCCAATACTAATTACAGATAATACAAAAGATTTTTATATTTAGCATTTGTCATATTAAAAGAGATCAAGAACTGATATAGTTACCTTTGGCTGCCTCTTGCTTCCACTTTCACACCTGTCCTTTCCCACTACATTTTTGCTGGCTCTTATCTTTGCAGGTGACACCGATTGCCCTACTAGTCTACATGCCTTCATTGATAAAGGCAGATGTATTCAGTTTTACTAAAGTTATCCTAAACAAATATTTAATACTTGATATTTATTTAAGTCTATATGCTAAGATCTTTAGGGGATGCAAAGTTAAAGCTCATTCCCGGGTTAGTAGGAGCATAGAAATAACTTCACTACATGTCACAAAGAGCTTTGGGAGTCAAAGAAAGCAAAGATCTTGTCAGGTTAAAGTGAATAACAGAGACTACAATATTGCATACATGTCTCTCTGAATTCTTTCAGCTTATTGAGACCTCAATTTGTTTATTTTTAAATTTTTTATATACTGTGGCAAAAAATCTCATTTATTTTTTATTTTCCTAATTCAGAATTTTTAATGCAGTATTTAAACAGAGTCTAAGCTCTGGTTTTCCTTTGCTCAAATAAGCTTTCCACATTATGATACAATATCATTGATAAGATTGTAGGAAGAATACTTAAAATTACTTAAAGGGCGGACCATTTTCATACATTCTCAAAAGTTTCAGAAATACTTATTACCTAACTAGTGGCCCGGTGTATGAAATTCGTGCACATTAAAAGGGAATTAATTAGAGGAAATATTTTAATAGTGCTATTTGCCTTTATAATAGAAATGTCAGAGATGAAAGAAAATTAGTAGAATGTATATGAACATCTTCCTCCTGTCAGAGTCTGGGGCAAACTGCAGGACCCAGAGTCAAGTCCCCACCCACCTGCGTGTGACTTAAAATTGCGCGAGACCCAGACCTGGTCGGCCCCATCCCTATTGGGCGAGATCCAGACCCGGCCGGCCCCACCCATGTCAAGCCCCGCCAGGTGGGGGTGCAGCCTCAGGTACCCAGCGCACCCTCAGGTTCCCCAGCCCGGTGCCATGGTGGGGGGCGTGGCTTCAGGTCCCCCAGCCCAGGGCAGGGATGTGGCCTCAGGTCCCCGTCAAGCCCCTCCAGGCAGGGGCGCATGGTCTGAGGTCCCCCGTCAAGTCTCACTGGGCAGGGAGGTACAGCCTGAGGTCCCCCAACCCAGTGCCGGTGTGGGGGGCACAGCCTGAGGTCCCCTATCAAGCCCCACCAGGCGGGGGGCTCAGCCTTAGGTCTCCCACCCCAGCCCAACGCCATGCAGCCTCAGGTCCCTGCTGATCACTCGTTACCGCTTGTTACGGGAACCCCGCCTCTGCTGTGGGCGCAGCTATCTTGATTCGGTGTGACAGCGTGAGGGTTAATTTGCATATTACCTCTTTATTATATAGGATTTGCTAATAACAAATTATTACCTATTCATTAAAGCAAGCCCTTTGAGATCCACTAATTTGATTTAAACTCTTTAAAAATAATGTTGCATTCTTTAGAAATAGTCTGCACTAAGATTTCTTCCTTTGTTTAAAATGCCTTTTTTAATTAAATTAACTTGAAATAGAGAGCACTGTTTGTGTGTTTGTATGTTTTATATGAGAGCACTGGTGTGTGTGTGTGTGTGTGTGTGTGTGTGTGTGTGTGTGTTTTGTATGAGAGCACTGTTTTTAGGTTACCAAATCAAACCGTCTCAGCAAACGGGCAACAGACAATGAAAATTTCTATATTCATTGAGCTGCAATTGTATAACACCAGCCAGGGGACATTGGTCTTTCACATGCTATAACGTTCTTGAGAACAAGGCACTGATATCCAGTCTTTTCCTACACAGGCAATTGAAGCAAATAAGGGCTGAAAATTGCAGATCTCTCCTCATGTCCACTTACTGCACGAGAGCTTCTCTGTGCTTCTTTGGGGACCAGATTACAGGGAGCCCCAGTGGTGAGGCATGAGTGGGCTTATAAGGTCAAGAAGAAAGATTCTCAGGAAGTCACTTATGTAAACACAATGGGGGAAGTTGGAACAGAGTCCAATATTTTTCTTTTTGTTAATCACATTGTAGCTTTTTCATTTCTACAGCTTAAAACTCGGAAGTCACAGACCTATTAGGTTCTTATAAGTGCCCCATGGGGCATCTGTACTTTTTTTTTCTTTTTATTTAATTGAAATTTTTTATATTTTTCAATTACAGTTTACGTTAAATATTATTCTGTATTAGCATAGTGGTTAGATAATTGTATACTTTACAAAGTATTCCCCCTGTTATTTCCAGTGACCACCTGGCACCATACATAGTTATTCCAATATTATTGACTATATTCCCTATGCTGTACTTTACATCCCCATGTGTATTTTGTAACTACCAATCTGTACTTTTCAGTCCCACCACAATTTAGAGATTGTTTCTTTGATTTCGGACTTTATTCTCTGTTCACAAAAAAAATACTTCTGGGAGGGTATATTAGATTTTATTGGTCATTAGAATCTTAGTGATAGAAGCACACAAGATTCTTTCTGGAAAACTGTTTTTTATAGAAAGAAAAATAGCAACACCAAGAAGATTCTGGGAGAACAGTATTGCACTATTTATCCAAACTAAAAAATGTGTTTATCCCTTGATCCAGCAATCCCTCTTTGGAAATATTACTGAGGAAAAAAGCCAGCTATCCTTTATGTAGAAAAGGGAAAAAATAAAATAAGAAATATAATTATTTCACTTGCATAGAGAAACACTTGCAGGTTACATGAGACATTATTAAGAATAGTTATGAAGTTATGCAAAAGAGATGGGGTCAGACACAGGGGTTAGTGTCCTGGGCATAGAGAGGAGTGAGACTTCTGCCTTTTATACTTTTACATTGTTTTGATTTTTGAATCACGTGACTGTATTAACTATTTTTAAGGTGATGTAGTGAATGAATGAATGAATGAATGAAGGATGATTAAATTAACAAAAGAGGGAAGATCATCTCAAGTGAAGAAGTTACAAGCTGTGAAAACAGGTTTTACCTGTAGCAATGCAGAAGGCTGGCTCTGAAGAACTTCATTCACTACAGGCCTTCAGCTGTTAATGTAGAAGACTAACAATGTGAAGGAAATTTTCTGACATTCTGGCCAAATTCCACTCAGTCATGCTCTGTATTTATGTTTTTCTGTAGATGCCAGAAGAACAAGCATTCTGTGTTTTGGTGAAAATCATGTATGACTATCATTTACGAGATCTCTACAAAAACAACTTTGAAGATCTTCATTGCAAATTTTATCAGTTGGAGAGACTAATGCAGGTAAATAAAAGTTTGGGACTTTTATCTCTCAGGGATTGGTTGTGTTATAGAAAAAGTCTAATAAGATTGATGAGCAATCATGATTTATGAAAATTTAATAGAATTCTACAGCAAATGGATTTGGTTTCTGACCAATATCTACATTGGTGTTGATATTATAAAATATTTGTTTAACCATTTGACCATTTTAAAAATTATCTTCCTTTTTAAATAGTCAACTTTAATACACTTTGAATGAGAATATAGTGAGTTAAGAAAATGAAGAGATTGTTGAGTATTATTTGTAAAGAAATAAAGACATTTACAGAGTAAGAATATTTAAGAGTTTTCTCTGTATTAATTAGCACCGGTACCCATACCATATTTATGTCTACATATAGAGAATATTTTGAAAAGATAGAAAGATATTGATAGTAGAGTAAAACACACCTAAAATATTGTAATGTGGAGACATACTTTAAAAAATCTTTCCACATAAGGTGAAGGGACTAAGGAAAAAAACCCTCTTAGACACAGACAATAGCATGATGTTTATAAGAGGGAATGGGGAGGTGGGGGAAGTAGAAGAGGTAAAAAAGAGATAAATGGGGACAGAAGGAGACTTGACTTTGGATAGTGAATACACAATACAATATACAGATGATGTATTATATAATTGTATATCTAAAACCTATATAATTTTATTAACCAATGTCACCCCAATAAGTTCAATAAAATTTTCCCACATAATTTCCTAATCTCAGAGTTGTTACTATTTTATAATATGTATGTATAAATTTATATATGTGAGAAACATATTTATGTCAAATATTACATAATAAAAAAGATTGTAAGGGCGAAATTATTGATTAGTACTGACAAAAAAAATTGAGTAGCTTTGAAATTCCACTGAGATTAGAAATCATACCTTTATAATGGATCTATGCATTCTCTATATGAGGTATTGGAAACTCAAGAGAAATGTGAAAAAAAATTCATGAAAGGATTTATTCCATATTGGGGAAAAGTGAAATGGTTGGGGAGGAAGGTTAGTGGGATGTGGCAGTAGAAGATACTGGCAGGAACTAATTGACACGGCCTGTCTGGAGATCCACAGGTGTCTGGAGAGGGAAGTGAAGCCAATAGGAGACTGAGGGAACAGGGGAGTGAAAGATGGAGAGTTTGCAGTGAGATAAAGGACAGCTTTCCTGGAAGAAGGGGATATAGGAGGGTGGGAGACCTCAAATGTGAACAAGAAAGAAAAGGATGGAAGGATGTCAAATAAACTGTAAGCACAATGACAAATGGGCATTGTGGGGAAGAAACTTAGAGGATCTGGTAACTAAGGGCATTAAAGGCTACCGGCTCTTTTTTAGAGATTTAATTCTTCCAAGAAAAGTTTTATTTGGAATTATTCACTTTCACCTTATTACAAAAGCTTATATTTTTTAAAGGTCACTATCCTTAAGCACTTTGAGAGTCAAATAATTGTACCTGATAATTGAATAGCAAGTTCATGGTACTATGAAGAAACCCAAGCACGCCCAGGCCAGTGTTCTCAATGGTTAGAGCTCCGGCCTATGCATCAAAGGGTCACAGGTTCAATTTCTGATCAGGGGGGCATACTTGGGTTGTAGGTTTGATCCCTGGCCATGGTTGGGGCATGTGCCAGAGACAACCAATTGGTGTGTCTCTCTCACAGCTATGATTATCTCTTTCTCTCTTTCTCTCTCTAAAACAGTGGTTCTCAACCTTCCTAATGCCGCGACCCTTTAATACAGTTCCTCATGTTGTGGTGACCCCCAATTTTATTGTTACAAATTGAACATAATTAAAGCATAGTGATTAATCACAAAAACAATATGTAATTATATATGTGTTTTCTGATGGTCTTAGGCGACCCCTGTGAAAGGGTCGTTCGACCCCCCAAAGGGGTTGCGACCCACAGGTTGAGAACCACTGCTCTAAAACATGGAAAATATCCTCGGGTGAGGATTAGCAAGGAGAAACAAAAAAGAAACCCAAGCACATTTTTTCTGTTAGCACCTTCTGTCTGTTAATTGGATGACCATTGAACACCCCAGTTAAAGTACTAGATGGGCACATTTGGGTGTTTTTCAAAGAGCATCTTGCACAAGAAGTGGGCTTTTTGTTTTTGTGGTCTTTTTATGAAAACAAAATGAAAGTGGGCTTTTATGTTTGCCTTTGTCTTTCAGTTATGGGAATTCTGTCCTAATGCTGTGAACTTGGCCTTTCACGCTTTTGAAATGCATTTACTGGCATAGCTTGGGCAAAAAGATAAAACTAGCATAAAGACATTTTAAGGAGACATTCAGTTTCATACATTATACACTTGCAGTTTCTGTACTTTGCTATTATTTTAAGATCTCAAAGATAGGTTTCTAAAATATTGGTTATGTTTTGGCCTTTTCTAAGTTTCAAAAAAATATACTGAAGTGGTAGCATAAAAACCAGATGATGTTGACAACAAGTACATCTCTTTTCTAACTAGTCAGGAGTTGAACAAGAGGGAGAGGTGGGTGAGGGAGATAGAAGAGGTAAAGGGGAAATAAATGGTGACCCCTGAATGGGGGTAGTCACTTGACCCTGGAGTCACGATGTTCTTCAGAAGGCAGGTGGGCCATCTGAACATTTCCTCAGAAACAAGACCAGTCGAGTGAGCAAGAGATGGTCTTTGTTACTTGTTCATAACAAGTCTGTCCCTAATCCCCACCTCCTCTCATCACTTCATTGTAGTTATGCAATTCATGGATTGCTTCAGTAAAATGAAAAGTGTTCATAAGAAGCTTGTCATAAATGGCAGTTGTGGCAGGAAATAAAGCTTCTTCCACATTCTGCTCACTAAATCTTCCCCTTTGACTTTTAGGAGCAGCTACCGGACCTGCACAGCCATTTTTGTGACTTGAACCTGGAGGCCCATATGTATGCTTCCCAGTGGTTTCTCACTCTTTTCACCGCCAAGTTCCCGCTCTGCATGGTCTTCCACATCATTGACTTACTGCTCTGTGAGGTAGAGTGACCCCCTCTCTCATACCTAAGCCCAAAGAGAAAGAGCATTGTTTCTGCTCACAATGGTTTAAGTGGTCTTCATTTTCTTCTTTCCTGTGACATTAAGCTATAAATACTGACCAAAAAGTTCTCTTTGAATTTTTAGTAAAGACTATTTTAATTGAAATTTTGCTATTTGTAAGAAATGAGAATATTAAAGCATATATAATTTCTACAAAGTAAAATGTGGTAATTAAATTTGCATAGTTAAATTCATAAGTCCATATGTATAATAATGGGCTACTAATATAAAGGACCTGTAAAGTTAAATAATGATTTAGAATCAGGTGTTTTTAGTACTAATGCAATTATATACCAAGAGTGAAAATTTTATAATAATTAAATCCTCAATTTGTAAGATATCTATTTGTATATGATGTTTGAGACTCCATCCAGATTATAAAGAAGTAGTAAAGTTTCTGTATCATATAGGTATATTTTCAGACAGTAAAATATTTCAAAAATTAGTTTGCATAATTTCTTAGGTATCTCTAGTATTTATTTCTTTTATTGCTTTTAGTTTCTTAGATGACTACATTTATTTACTTTGTTCTCTTAAAGAAATAAGCAGTATTACATATACATAGCACATATACTGACCATCAAAATGTTTGAGTCTTAGCAGTGATAGAAAGTTGCTGGAGAGAAGAATCTTTTAATTGGGAATATAAATGTGTATAAAAATATAGCTGTCTTAACTTTAAAAGTTGGAGTAATTAGTCAAAAGTATAAACCTAATATAATCTAGGCAGTTTTGTATTACTATATTACTTTTCTTACATAAAGCTTCCTCTTTCTTAAAAGAAAAGTCTATTTTAATCACCCTAGAAATTTAACTATAAAAGTAAGATTTGGAAAGATAAAATGAATCGGCTGTATAAAGCATGATTGTTATATCTCAGCCTACTATGATAGGGACCATTTTGTGTGAGTATAGCTGGGTTCAAAGGTTCTAGTTGGCGGTGTACAGTGCTTGAAGGTGCAGAGCATTTTGTAGGCATGTAAGATTTTTAAAGATTTGCAACATATTTTGATAAAGAAGGGTCAAGCGTCTTGCCGAGGGTCACAGAACAAGTTCCCAAATTCTGAATGCATAGCAGCTAGAGAACCTGGTTGATAATACATTAATTCTACTTGTTTTACTTACAAATTAGTTTCTAAAATGCCTACCTAAATTTAACCTAAAGGAAGAATGCGAATTAGGAGCTAAAGTCTTATTCAAAGTCAAAACAGTGTGATCACTGGAATGGTGACTGTCTAAAATCGTCTCTACCTGATATTGGAGCACTGTCCACGGGTCTTCTGGAACCCAGATATATTGTTCTTCAGGAAATTTCATCTTGAAGATACTTGAATTTCCAATGTCAGTTGCTAAGAAAAATTAGCAACGTTGATGGCAAGGAAAAGAAAATTTATAAGACTTCTTATCACTTGTCAACTGTGATTCATAATCACAGTGTTTGAAAGATCTTAATGCTCATTAAAATTAATAAGAGCATCGTAGATAGATGTCACTTTCCCTTCTCTTAAACTGATGCTCTGTAGCTGTTTTAGGAAGTTGCATAGCTTAGCTCTCCAAAACACGGAGTAGGTTGTAATCACAACATTATGTTAACCAGGGAAATAAATAACAAACCTTAAAAGAGCAAAGTAGCTTTGTAAAACAAACCGTATTGGGAACAATATTGGAGTATGCTTCAGGATATTTGTTCTTTCCACTAACTCATCTTTGTCAGAGTATTATTTTGCAAAGGAAATTTTTAGATAAACTTTTATTTCCTGCCTGTCTGTGTTTTCTCTTTGCCCATTTCCTTCTTGTAGTTAATAAAATATTTATACTAAAGCTATTCTTTCACATGTAATAAAATATTCTAAATATTTTATTCTATTTAAGACTATGGTACCATTTATGTTTTTTGTCATATTCTCTATTTGTTAAGGACATAATTTAAATCTTGATAGTTATGAATTAATGTTTAGTTACAAATGGAAGGCTAGGAAATTCTCAGATGGAAAAGTGTTAATTTTTCAAAAACTTTTCAGAGGCCCTCCTCCCTTTTACTGCCTCTTCAGTTATTACCCCTCTGAAGAGTCATTACTATCCTGACTTTTAATGCCATAGATTAGTTTTGATTGTTTTTGAACTGTATATAAATGGAGTCACACAATAGGAACTCTTTCTTGTCTAGCTTTTTCATTTATCATTATGCTTATGAGTTTCATCTAGGTAGTTGCATGTGGCCATGGTTTGTTTGTTCCATCGTGAATATACCACCATTTCCTCATTCTTCATGCTATTGTTGAAGGGCATTTGGGTCGTTTCCAGATTAGGGCTATTATGAATAGTGTTGCTGTGAACATTCTTGGACTAGTCTTTTGGTAAGCAAGCATACATATGACTTTTTTGGAATTGCTGGGTTAGGGCACCCAAGCACTAAAGTTTATAGATGCCACCAAGCAGTTTTCCAAAATATTTTGAACATTTTAATTTGAGTTGTTTTTATTCACTGAAAGTCTTCCTTATGGTCAAGGGCAGGTTTTGTTTTATTTATTTATTTTTTTATTTTTTAAGAGAACAGGTCCTGGAGCAGATTAGAGTTCATGAATATGAAACAAAATACAATTCATTTGGTGTCTGAAGTAATTTACTTGGTCTCTGAAGTTGTATTTGGATGGGACTAAGAGTGGATGTAAGAGCAGAATCGCTTCTGTGCTTTTATGAGAGAAGTCAGCCTGATGGGGAAAATCTAGCCATGTACTCAGTTATAGCAGAAGCAACATAGAGATAGTTTAATATTGGAGTTAAGATATTTGGCTTTTTAGTTAATCCTTCCTATATCACCTTCATGTTACTTGACCTATATGTGTCTCAGTTTCTTCATGTGTTAAATGAAGCTAACAATATATCTACCTCCCAGGTTTACATAATGATTATATGAAATTATGAATAATAAGGTACTTAGCACTGTGCCTGTTATACAGTAAATAGTCAGTTAATATTATCCTCAATTCTACCTGTGTAATCCTTTTAGTTGCTCTCAATTTCTTCAATTAACTAGCTGACTACAGAGATTCTTAAGAGAGGGTCAAGTAGCTATTGATTCTTTATTACCTTTCTAACAACACTCCCAGTAGAGATGCATCTTTGCTAAAATCAAAATTTTAGCCATTAACCTTAATGGAAGTTTCATTCTATTTCTTTCTTTTTTTTTTTTCCTCGCCTGAGGATATTTTCCCATTGATATTTAGAGAGAGTGGAAGGAAGAGGGAGAGACAAAGAGAAACATTAATGTGAAAGAGACACATCAATTGGTTGCCTCCTGCATGCACCCCAGCCAGGGCCGGGGAACCTGCAACCAAGGTACATGCCCTTGAGTGTAACTGAACCCGGGACCTTTCAGTCTGAGGGCTGACACTCTATCCACTGAGCCAAACTGGCTAGGCCAGTGGTCGGCAAACTCATTAGTCAACAGAGCCAAATATCAACAGTACAACGATTGAAATTTCTTTTGAAAGCCAAATTTTTTAAACTTAAACTATATAGGTAGGTACATTGTTTTTAACTTAATTAGGGTACTCCTAAGGCTTAGGAAGAGCCACACTCAAGGGGCCAAAGAGCCGCATGTGGCTCGCGAGCCACAGTCTGCCAACCACGGGGCTAGGCCATTCTATTTTTTTTTGTGTGTGTGTGTGATTTAAGGAGTCTTCCAAAAGTATTTTTACTACCTTCTTTCAAAAGACATAAGGAAAACAGTATTTCTTTTAGTCTTGACATGATAACTGACAGCTGGGGTTTGAAGTTGACTCTTCCCAGATAGTTCAATTTTTAGAGTAGCAAACATATTCAGCTTTATATAGTAACTTGGTATTTCATGAAATTAAAGGAAATCATTGATCTTTCAAATTCGAGTATATTTCTTACCTCTCCTTTCTTCTTAGGATAATGAAAAAAAGTTAAAAATATCTTATTAAATACCACCAGGTATAATCCCCCTTTCAAGGCAATTTTCGGAAGCTGTTATCTGAAGAGTAGATTTGTTATATAATATTCTTACTCTTTGCCCCAATTTCCTCCCTCAAACAGTAATATATTGAATTTTTTAAAATTGAGATATAGTTGATTTAACATTTTCTAAGTTTGAGGTATATAACCTGTTGGTTTGATATATGTTGGTTATATATTGCAATATGCTTACTACAGTAGCATTAATTAACACCTTTATCAAGTAATACATTGAATATAAAAAACATCAGAATGGGCTGATATAAGGAAGATTAAGAATTCTAACATAAATATAAAACTTTCAGAAAACTTTAAGAGTAGTAATTGGCCACAAGAGTAGGGAAGAGATTTTTGACTAACCAATAAATACTGTATAGGCTACTTTAAATTTTTACTTAGCAATAGAAATCTTCAGGAATAGAATACACTCTCTCTAAAATTTTATTTCTGGACCCTAACTTCTTTCTCACCTATAAGCTCTTTGTGGTTCTCACATCAGTTGTATTATAGCTCTCTCTTGTGTTTTCATTAATTTTGTCATTACACAAGAGGCAGAACCATTAAAATGGTTAAAATGGCAGAACCATTGTGCTTGTGCTTCTGGTGACTTTTAGAAGAATATTTACTTATTCATTCATTCAACAAAAATATATTAAATGCTGACACCATTCAAGTTTGGGGATAGAGCAGTAAAGAAAAAGCAGATAGAACTCTTGCCCTCATTAAGGTTTTATCCTTGTAGAAGAGACAGACAACAAACAAATGACTAAGTAGACTATGTAGTAGATCAAAGCTGATAAGTACTATGGAGAAAAACAAAGGAAGGAAGAAATGTGGCAGATTTTAATAGAACCTTTTGACCATTGTAGAGAATTTAGGTTGTATTGGACTGAGATGGGGAACCACTGGAGAGTTTTGAGTATGAGTTACATGCTCTGATATATGATCACACAAGTTGC